ACAAAATTATTTACCCCGCCTCTTGAAATGCGGTCACACTATCAAGGGCAGTTCCAAACAGCCCGAGCTGTCGTGCTCCTGACCGCTTCAAGCCAGACCGGGTTCGTAACAGAGCGCGCGACACGCGTCCGCGCTGGCAGCAGCCGTCGCGCCCGCCCCGCTCACCCGGCCCGAAGACGGCGGCCGCGCCGCAGTCGTACAGCATCTGGTAGTCCTGCGGCGGGATGACGCCGCCCACGATCACGAGCGCGTCGCCGCGGCCGGCGGCGCGCAGCGCGCGCACCAGCGCCGGCACCAGCGTGCGGTGGCCGGCGGCCAGTGTCGACACGCCCACCACGTGCACGTCCGCGTCCACCGCCTGCTGCGCTACCTCCTCCGGCGTCTGGCGGGCGCACGCCACGGCGGCGTTAGAGGGCGCCCACCGCTGTCGACCGGCCGCAGCGGCAGGCGCCAGGCGGCCCGCATGGCGTACACACACGTGACCCACGCACGTCGGGCGCCGAGATGACTGTGAACGATACCGCTGGATTGAGCGGCTGGCCAGCGAATGGCCCAGTTGACACGGCGCTAATGTTTTTCGCGCAATAGTGGGGATTTCTCGTCGCTAACGTATGAGTGTCCATTGTGCCCCTTCTGACCAACTAAACCTCATGAAAAAACTTATTTCAAACACGGCGAAAACTCCTCCCTGCATTAATAAACCTACGCCGCCGGGTAGGCCGAGTGTCCAGCAGAACCCGCCGCGGCGGGCCGCCGTCAGCCGAGAGGGCTTCCAGCGCCATTACCTGGAAGAGCGGGCCGACGTCCACGTCAAAGCCCAGGTCGGCGAAGCCGGTGGCAATGACCTTGGCGCCGCGGTCGTGACCGTCCTGGCCCATCTTGGCCACGAGGATGCGCGGCCGGCGGCCCTCCTCCTCGGCAAACTCCGCCACCTGGCGGCGGTCGGGCGGTGTCACGGAGCGGCGGCAGGAGAGGGGGTCTCCGGCGCACCTGGTCATACCATCCGTGGGACTGGTGCACTCCCCGTCCCTGCAGGATGCGTGGACACTCGACTTACACGAGCCGTCGGCGCAGGTAATCCCTGGGGCGGAAAGCAGAGAAGGTATTGTCACTGCGGACACTGCCCCACCGCGAGAAGGGTATGCTGAGAGACCGGGGATTGCAAGAAGGGTCATCACAAGACGACTGCCGCCGACGCAAGTGGGGACATGCTAGGGTCCGGTGTTCGCTGGGCTTGCATATAGAACGGCCGGCTCGCCGGCGTGCCGCCCGGCTCGGCTTGGACAATGAGCTGGCCGGTGGCGGCGCCTCCAGCTGCGGCATACCATCGGCTGGGAAATGGGCAACTTCTGATGGCATGTAAATGACGTGATCGGACCGGCTGAACTCGGCGGTGCCGGCTCAGGCGCCGCCATCGCCGACGCTCTACACCTCACCTTCTGCATGACACGCTGCAAGTCCTCTGTGTCGGCGTACTCGGACTTGTACGCGCCCGAGACAAACTTGTCAGTAGCCACGTGCCGACCGAACACCTCCTCCATGGCCTGCGTGATCTCGCCGACAGTGGCGCGCGCCCGCGCTGCTGCCACCTGCCGACCGCATCCAAAGCTCAGGTTACAACACCCGCTGCTAGTACAGCCTTTCGACGGCATAGCCCCCCCATGTCCTTGTGACTGTCCCCCCCCCCCCCCCCATTCCCCCCCTCTCACGATATCTCCCTCCGTAGACGCCGATTAATAAGAGACCCCGCGTTTAACAAAACATGATTTACACAAAGACAAATATTGTAACAGCTTATAATAGCCGGTCCCCAGCGGCCGCCAGTCCGGGGCCGAACCGCCACTCACAGCCGCCTTCAGCAGGTTGCCCTCGCCGGAGCGCGCCGTCTCTGTGAGCTCGTGCAGGGCGCGCCGCACGGCCTCCGCGTCTCGCTCGGCCCGCAGCCGCTCCAGCTTGGCGCACTGCAGCCGGTACACCTGCTCGTTGTCAATCATCAGCACGTCTAGCGGCTCCTCCTTCTCCAGCCGGTACTTGTTGACGCCGACGATTGTCTCTGTCGGTCGGCGGCGCGTCGTCAGCTGGCTGTATTAGCCGTCAGCTGGCTCCGGCAGTCGTCAGCTGGCTGTGTTAGCCGTCAGCTGGCTCCAGCAGCTGTTAGCTGGCTTCGGTAGCCGTCAGCTGGCTCCGGCAGCCGTCAGCTGGCTCCGGCAGCGCTGTCCGCTTCCTCCAAGCGTGACCAAACAGCATGCTAAGCGCCCTCATCTGACTTTGCGCGTCGTGTTTATCATAAATGGGCGAGAAATGTCCGCTTAAGTCGATCTGCTTTTGGCGCAAATTCCTCCGATCCGTTGGTGATGTAACTCGAAGGACAAATTCAGCAAGGAAGTAATCCATCAACTTCCAGGGTGACAGTGACAAGTTCCCAGCATGAAAATCAATAGGAAATATGTCACGTGACACCAGACGAACAGAACTACACGGAGAAGACCGGAATCCCAGAGTTTTTGCCAGCGAGTGCGAGCCCGGCAGGCGCTAACGGCGGACCGACCTTTGCCGGAGTCGATGGCGGCCTGTTTGCGGGCGGCGCACTCCTCGATTTTGAGCTTGGGCCAGCCGGAAGCGACGGCCTCGGCCATGCCGCCCATCTCCTCCACCTGGTCAATGACCTCCCGCCCGGCGCGGCACATCTCGGCCGTCAGCGCCTCCATGGCGTACGAGCCCGCCCACGGGTCAATGACCTGCCGCACAAAGGGGCAGAGGTTAGCGCCCCAGATCAGCCCACACACATCTCGGCCGTCAGCGCCTCCATGGCGTACGAGCCCGCCCACGGGTCAATGACCTGCCGCACAAAGGGGCAGAGGTTAGCGCCCCAGATCAGCCCACACACATCTCGGCCGTCAGCGCCTCCATGGCGTACGAGCCCGCCCAGGGTCAATGACCTGCCGCACAAAGGGGCAGAGGTTAGCGCCCCAGATCAGCCCACACACATCTCGGCCGTCAGCGCCTCCATGGCGTACGAGCCCGCCCACGGGTCAATGACCCGCCTCACATGAGGGCAGAGGTTAGCGCCCCAGATCAGCCCACACACATCTCGGCCGTCAGCGCCTCCATGGCGTACGAGCCCGCCCACGGGTCAATGACCCGCCTCACATGAGGGCAGAGGTTAGCGCCCCAGATCAGCCCACACACATCTCGGCCGTCAGCGCCTACATGGCGTCCGAGCCCGCCCGCGGTCAATAACCTGCCGCACATGGGGGCAGAGGTTAGCGCCCCAGATCAGCCCACACACATCTCGGCCGTCAGCGCCCCCATGGCGTACGAGCCCGCCCACGGGTCAATGACCTGCCGCACACGGGGGCAGAGGTTAACCGCCCAAGTCATCCCCGACACGGATGCGCGGCTTTATACACGTGTCTGTATGTGACTTATGTGCCTTGTGTGCATGCGTGTATTCGTCCATGGGTGAGAAGATAAGGCAGCAAGATGTAAGTGACATCAACAGGAAGCTAATGGAGCGGCGGCAGATAGATAAAATATATACATATATATAGATATATACATATATATATATATAGGATAACATATAAATTAAAATATAATAATAGATAGATAAAACAGTTCTATCGTAGTGAAGTAGCGTGTTTGACAAAGCCCGGTGAAAGCTGAACGGATTAATACATCGACAGCGGAGCCCATCCAGAGGAACGCCACGGTGGCGGGAGGCTTCTCGGGTTTCAAGGGCCGGAGGCTACCCTGGTCTCAAGGTCCGGAGGCCACCCTGGCGGCAAGAACACAACGGCAGGACTCGCCTGACCGGAGGGATGCAGCAGCAAGGCTCCCTGATCTGGGGGATGTAGCGGCTAGGTTCCATGACCTAAGGGAGTCAGTGATAGAACCCTCTTGATCCTGGATCCTGGGGATGCAGCGACAGGGCTCCCCCGACCTGGGGAATGCAGCAGCGGGGCCTCACTGACCTGAGGGGCTCAATGGCAGGGCTCTCCTGACCCAGCGGCAGGCCTCCCTGACCCTGGGAATGCGGGCGGCAGGGCTCCCCTGACCTGGGGGATGCCCGTCTCCTCCTGCAGGATGATCTGCGTGTTGCGGGCGATGCGGGCCGAGAAGACGGACGGCAGCGCCAGCGCCTCGTCGAACGAATTGGTGTGCAGCGACTGCGTGCCGCCGAACACGGCCGCCATCGCCTCCACCGTTGTGCGGATGATGTTGTTGTACGGGTCCTGGAGGCGGGGGCAGCGGCGTCACGACGCTGCGGTAGCGGCAGCCAGGCCGGGCGGCCCGCCCGACACGTGAGGCGGCCGGCCCTCCGGACGCCGGCCCACTCCACGACGGCCGCGCCCAAGGGTGACGGCAGGCTGCCGCTCGCTACCTCCCGGTCAGCGCCGCGATACACCGCACATCAGGTATGGCGTGGCAGCGACCACCGGTCGGGTCAGAAACAGACTGCGTGGCCACACCACAGGACAAGTGGTGGGTGGGGAAAGTTCTAACGGAGACCGCGGCCTTTTGCAACGCAAAACGTCGCCAGACGCACATCAAGTTCGAACTCCGCGTGCCACCATGCTTTTGGAAGCTGATCACCCTGGAAGAAACACATTTATTTCTCCAGTGAGAGCTCATTCACGCGCGGCCGTTCGGTGGCTGGTTACGGTCCAGCGAGGACAGACCCCTGGTCGGCTGTGAAGGGGCCGCCGCCGCCGCCTTCCTGACCTGCTCCGTCAGGGACCAGCCGGACGTCTGCGAGTGCGTCCGCAACATCATCGACTTGTCGTTCTTAGGGCTGAACTTCTCCTTCATAAGTGTGGCCCAGAGCCGGCGCGCTGCGCGCATCTTGGCTATTTCCTGCGGCCGGTCACGACGCACGGTGAGGTCATGAGCGTGGTGTCTCCGTTACAATGTGACACTGCATGTCTGCGTCTTATTCTATGCACATTGGAACAAGCTGCAGCACCTTCTAGCACACTAAGTTTGGGTGGAATTCAGCAAATCATCTGCCAATGGCCTTCGTTACAAAATCGGCTGCAGTCTTCCCACGGAGAATATCGGCACCGGACCGGCGCCAGCAAAACCCCACTGATGGGTGGACACCGTCGTGCGGCCAGCAACACCTGCCAAACACCCGAGCTCCACTGCGCTGAAGCAGGCCAACACCCCTGGCCAAAATAACAGCCTTACCAGCCCAGGCACCGATCTGCACCGCAGATCTGCACTGTATCTGCGGTGCAGATCTGCACCGCAGATACAGTGCAGACGCCGGAACCTCCGTAAGGTTGCAACTCTGTTCCCTTCTTCCAACAGGAAGTGGTGAGAAAGCAGAACGGAGCAGTCACCAGCAGCACATGGCCCTGCAGCTGTGCCTCACCATGTAGAAGTTCATGCCGATGCCCCAGAAGAAGGAGAGCCGCGGTGCGAAGGCGTCGATGTCGAGGCCGGCCTTCAGACCCGTCCGGCAGTACTCCAGACCGTCCGCCAGCGTGAACGCCATCTCGTACACCGGACTGGCGCCCGCCTCCTGGCGGCCGACGAAGGAAACAATCAGCGCCTCAGCCGACAGTTCGGTCGGCGGCAGGGACGGCAGGTCGACGTGGTGCGCTCATGAAGCAGGCACATGGAAGCCAACTGTGCACCAAGCCTCTCGCCGGCAGTTGCGACGCTTATGGCGTGATAATGCGTGCGTCACGGCACGAAAGGGAAGAGTTCATCAAGACATCAGCCACGCGTCCACGACACCACAATTTCGGGAGGTAAACGGGACTGAGTTACATCATTCATGCTACAACCTATCAGCTGGCGCAGAAAACCCGACGAAACCTCATCCTGTACAAACCTGCATATGGTAGCCAGAGACTGAGATTGAGTTGAACTTGGGCATGTGCTCGGCGGTGTAAGCGAAAATGTCCCCGATGATCTTCATAGACGGCGCGGGCGGGTAGATGTACGTGTTTCGCACCATGAATTCCTTCAGGATGTCGTTCTGGATCGTTCCGGATAGTTGCTTGGAACTGACGCCCTGCAGGGCGCGGCAGCCGAAGCTCAAGTCAGCTCAAAGTGAAGCGGTGTAAGACACACACAATTGTGTGCGGCGTATGAGACACACTTGTGCATGATTTTCAATAGCTCAATCCACAGCGCACCCCTGCCAAATTTGAGAACATTTCCATCGATTCCCGATCACAGGCGAGAACAACCGGCCGGCCGCATGATCTCGACGCTCACCACGCAAACGAGACGAAACAACAACACGTGGGCACACCGCGGCAGGCCCGCCTCGGCAGCACGGCCGACCGACGTCCGCCGCCACAGGTGGCCGCGTCGGCGCCGGCCCGACCCGGCCCAGCGACCGGCAGCGGTGCAGGCCAGCGGCCGTACCTGCTCCTCGCCGGTCACGATGAACATGGCCATGATGGGCACGACGGCGCCGTTCATGGTCATGGAGACGGACATGCGGTCGAGAGGGATGCCGTCGAACAGCACCTTCATGTCCTCCACCGAGTCGATGGCCACGCCGGCCATGCCGACGTCGCCCGAGACGCGCGGGTTGTCCGAGTCGTACCTGGGGGCCGGGACGTCGCCGCTGAGATGACCGATACGGCTCGGGGTGGCCGGAGGGCGCGGCCTGCCGAGTCAGCCGCCAGCTCAGGGTCACGCGCTCGGCCCAGACACTGAGGCCGATGTGCGCACGTGTATTCGCGGCCCACGCGTCACGTTACACGCGCATGGGCCGACCAATGTGAGACGAAAAGGGCCGTATAGAAAGATGTGTTAAGGCACGACGAACGATAGTTACCTTCTCTGAAGCGAGTGGAAATTGAAGCAAAAGCACGTTGACGGGACGTCATTCTCAGCTATCACGCCGTAATGCAGTCGCCGCCGTCCGCCCACCGGCGCGATGGATTCCCACGCCCGACTCACCCACAGTGGGTAGCCAGATCGAAAGCCACGCTGAGACCCTGCTGTCCGGCCTTGATGTTCTCGCGGTAGAACTTGTTGCTCTCCTCGACGGTGGAGAAGCCAGCATACTGGCGGATGGTCCAGGGCCGCTGGGCGTACATGGTCGGGTAAGGGCCGCGCGTGAACGGGAACTTGCCAGGCAGCTCCGGTGGCACGCTGCGCACACAGCCAGGCAGGAAGCGGCGTCAGCAGGACGACACACGGCGGCGTCAGCATGGCAAGGACCCATGCAGGCTCTGACCAGACCACAGGTGATCAGTGACATGCCAGCTGTCTGTCCACTGACAAAAAAACATATGGATTGACACAAAGTGGCAGACAGACAAAATCACAAGGGAAATGTGCAATTTTATGGACCTTGTTTTGGGACATTTCTGATGAAGCAAGGTGAGAAAGATGTCTGCACATGATGTGCATGTTGGAAATAACTTTTTTAAATGATGACTGCTAGTATTGTCTAGTAGTACAGTGTATTCATTAAAGGCATGATAGCAGAGGGTACTGTGAACACTCAATTAAGCGGGCAATATTGCTGGTGTACACCACATACATAAAGCTGATGTCTTACTTCTCAACATCTTTCGCTGTGTAGATCGGTTTCACATCAACACCATCAGAAGTCCTCCAAACCAGCTTCTTCAATGCTTCTTCAGATTTAAGCTGTTTAGCAGCTAGCTTGGACCATTCAGGGTCCAGCGGGGCAGCTGTGTGTGTACCCCTGACCCGAAGCAGGTGACACAACTGAAAAAATACATTGTTTTTTGGTGACTTATCCATACCAGCCATAATTGTTAAATCCAGGAGAAGAGAGGAAGGGTCACATGCTGTATAAGCCAACCTTTTCCAAAACCAGCATAACAACACAATTGGCATAGGACTATTTGTCAGCCCAAGTAATGAATGCACACATATACATGTTCCTGCTATAATTCAGCACTGACGGACCAATGAGTGATGCAAGTAGCTGAACTGCCCACCTATCTGCACTGTCCAGGACAGGTTGGCATTATGAAAGACTGTGGCCATGGTTAGGAAATATGTTAGGACAGAGTTCAGAACATCCACAACTTTTCTCAATGAAGGTGAAATTTTGGCCTCCATCAAGCAAGCTTACTTCAGCAGCTTCACCTCATCAGGTTTCCATAGCATTTTCCCACCATGGCCACAATTATTTGTTTTTGAATGCAATGTGGTGCATTCTTACCAATTTTGTTTGGTGATGTGCTTAAAACAGCTATACCATGCATACATTTTCTGGAAATTGTATTTGCCATCCTACAAAACATCTGAGAATTGGATTCATGAGTTAAATAAAAGATTATCCAGGATATGTTATCCCAATTCCAGTATCAAGACATGTGACACCTACCTCAGAACCCTATCTTGTCCCTTTTTGACCAATGGGAAAAGTGATGCTAGAAATGTCTAGATATGGCTTTTAATCTTGTTGCCACGCCTCAGCTGGCTGACCAGCTGCCAGTCTCACAAAATCCACCCTGCGTGCCAGACACTTTCACAACTTCTGTGCACTAACCTTCACTTTGATGAGCTGAAGCATACAGCTACATGCACTTAATTCATGCCAGGCCAGTTAAACTGAGTTTTTACATGATTTTTGGGTGAAAAAGATACGTGGAGCATTTTCCCCGAACTCGCCTTCACATCATAACTTTCTGAAGCGTTGGCTCGCTATGCGCTGAAATCAGTGCCGGCCGTGCGCCGAATTCTGAGCACTGTTCTACGATATGCATGCGCTGCCATTTGTACCGCGGTATCGCTGCTTCACCGGACGTGTTTGGCATAACGTGCATTCTTTGCAGCCTGGACCGGCTTATCATTACCCGCTCAACTAATCGCTTTCGTATCCAGTGCAAACAGAGTGGGCCTCGTGACGCTGGTAAGGCCTGGTTGGGCACCCAGGAGAAGCTTTGATCCCTCTAGGATCATCCATAACTGTGATCCAGCGGCAATGTAGCGCGCCTCAAAAACGTACCGGAACCCGAAGGCCAGATGCATGGCGAGGATTCATTGAGCCAGGCCTCCCCACTCACTTCCCTTTCACGACGTACTGTTGCGTTTAAGGTGCACACAAGGCAATGCCATCTGATGCTGTATGTCAAGGCCCTTGGTCGTGTCGAGCCATGACGTCATGACGGCTATAATTGCCCTTGAAGCATGCTTCAACGGGATTTTCTTGGTGCACCTGCACCCCTGTAGCATAAAAGATAATATTTTAGCAGGTGTTAAATGGCACGAATGAAGGTTTTTTCAAGCACAAAAATGCATCTTCACTAGTAAATAGCCATCGAAGGCGACTATCTACCACCAGCTGACCCTGGTCTCATAAGCCTCTCATACTGGCGCATTGCATACAAACGTCACATTCGCCGCTAGGGATGAAATCACTTGTTGGTTGCATTCTCTGGGAAGGTGGGTGTAGAATTGTCTTACTGGTGTAAGTGGCATTGCTGGTAGATTTCTTCGGCTGGGCTCATCACGTCTACTCTAGGACTTCAACCACCTATTTTTTCACCGTACTTTGTTGGTACCGTGGGTATTGATTGGACGAGGTCGCTCAAACTGTCCCTTTCTGTGATACCTAACGAATAACTAGCATTTCCTAATTCAGTTTTTCTGTGTTATGAGGTTTGCATTTTCCAGAATTTGGTATGACTGTAAAAAAAAATGGCGGACGAATTGGATTTTGTATATTTGATGTGGTTACAATGTTCAATAACTCATACATTTGTGCATCTTGCTTGTTCAATGGTAATGTCTGATTCAGCTGTTTTGGAAATTTTAGCTTTGTCTTAACATAAGTTTCAGATTTATGCTATTAGTCGACTTGTAAGTTGTTATTGTGTTTGCAAGGGACGGAAGAATACCCAGGAGAATAGGCAGATAGATATCGTCCATTGTTGTGGTTATCCTTTGAGGAATAAGGCCATTAATATTGTCTTATCTACATGAGTTGACTTATTAAATCTACCACACACTAAAAAAATGTGATGGAAATGTGCATATCTTATCGCATTTGCCAGTTGTGCCATACTGCAACATCCTGAGGTACATGTCTTATGTGTAATGTTCTCATTGTGGCTTTTTTTTACTTGGGTACCTGTACTGCCGACGGTGGGGGGAGAGCTACGCTGGCTACAGGGTTCCTGTACTGCCATGATGGAGAAATGCTGTTAGGTATCAGCCGACGTAGTGACGTCACTGAAAATGGGTTTGCATCGATCGGGATTCTTTTGGGCCGACTGAAGGCTACAAGGCATTTGCTAGCGATATGATGTCACTGGTATTCGACTGGATATGTGACGTCACTGGTTTTGAGGCTTTAGGGCTCTTTTGGGTGCAATGAATGCCGTAAAGCATCACCTGACGATATGTCGTCGCTGGTATTCAATGAAACATCAGGCGCAACGGGCCTTATTCCATCTTTACCTTTCGTACCTGTCTGCTGCAAGCATTTGCGTGCTGAATAAAAGCTTGACCGAATCACCTGAATGTGTGACGTCACCAATCATCACTTGATACGAGTGCACTTAGGCCCCACGGCCGCGGTGTATCATGTTCCGTGAAATATCACTGGGTATCGTGACGTCAGTGATATTCGACTAAATATTGGTCGCAACACGTCAAGGTCCATTTTTAGCTTCGTACCTGTCTACTGCAAGCACTGGCGTGATGAATAAAAGCTACCAAATCACGTGAGTGTGTGACGTCACTGGTCATGCATTTTTATGGATCTTTGGGGGCCAACTGAGGGCCGTAAAGCATAACCTAATGAATGTGACGTCACTGGCATTCAACTGTGTGTGATGTCACTTGTGATCAGATTTACGGCCTCTTTTGGGCCGACGAAAGGTCATACGACATTAACTGAAGATGTGCCGTCACTGGTATCCGAATACAATTCAGGCGGGCCATGGCCATGCTCCATCTTTACCTTTAGTACCTGTCCATTGCAAGTATTTGAATGCTGAAGGAAGGGTCTGGCCGAATTACCTGAGTGTGTAACGTCACTAACCATTAATTTGTATAGACTGTTTTGAACCCACTGTAAGCCATACCACATCAGCTGACCATATGACGTCACCGGTTTTCGTCTAGGCGTCATGCGCAACAGGCCATGCTCTATCTTTGCCTTTCGTACCTGTTTACTGCAAGCATTCGCGTGTTATATCAAGGGTGATGCTGAACCATCTGAGTGCGTGACGTCACTGGTCATGAGTTTATACAGGTTCGCTTGGGCAAGCCCAATGCAACAAAGCATCATATCCTGTAAGCGTCGCGGGATGATATGACGTCACTGGTATTCGACTCAACATCAGGCGCAACAAGCCATGTTCCATCTTTACCTTTCGTACCTGTCTACTGCAAGCATTCGCGTGTTATATCACGTCATTGGTTAAGAGTTCTTACGGGCTCTTTTCAACCCCCTATATGGTATAATGCTTCAGTTGACGATATGATGTCACTGGTGTTCGACTTAACATCAGGCACAGCATGTCATATTCCATCTTTGCCTTTCGCACCTGTTAAAGTAGTGGCGAGCTAATGATGGCTCTGCCGAATCACCTGAGTGCGTCATCATGAGTTTTTACAGGCTATTGTTGGCCGAGTGAAAGCCATTAGGCATCATCTAACGATATGTCGTCACTGGTAATCCACTAAGTGTGTGACGCCATTGGTCATGAGTTTTCCCGCGCCTTTTTGGGCCGACTTAAGGCCATTAGGCATCAGGTAACGATATGACGTCACTGGTATTCAATTAAGCATCAGATACAATATGTCATGTTCCATCTTTACCTTCCGCACCTATCTACTGCAAGTATTCGCGCGCCACATAAAGGGCTCTGCCCAATCACCTGAGCGCGTGGTGTGACTGGTTATGAGTTTACGCGGGTTTACTCGGGCTGACTGAAGGACATCAAGCATCATCTGGCGATGTGACGTCACTGGTATTCAACTTAACACCAGGCGCGACAGGCCATGTTCGTCTTTACCTTTCGTACCTGTATTGTAAGCATTGACATGCTTAAGGAAAGCTCTGTGAAATCTCCTGAGTGTGTAATGTCACTGGTCATGAGTTCTTTACGGGCTGCTTTTTTGTACCTATAGGGTACAAGACATCAGTTGACGATATGACATCACTGGTATTTGACTTAATCTCAGGCGCAACAGGCCATGTTCCATCTTTGCCTTTCGCACCTCTATACTGCAAGTATTCGCGCGCTACATAAAGGCTCTGCCGAATCACCTGAGCATGTTGGTGTAACTGGTCATGAGTTTACGCGGGCTTACTCGGGATGACTGAAGGACCATCAAGCATCACCTGACCATATGACGTCACTGATATTCGGGGCTGTGGCCCAGACTTATGGCCGCTAGGCGGCGCCCTTGATTATTATTTAGCCATCAGGGCATTCCGGACCGTAGCTGCTCAGGGGCGCATCCCGTGATGTCGGGCGGAATAGCTTTGCATATACGTCGGTTTGTGGGCTGGGAAAACCTTTGTTTGGTGTTTACGTTGGTTCAAAATTTTAGTCGTTGAAACAAGCCCGTTGCGTTTGAAGTTGTTACTTAATGGTGCGCACAATAAAATTAGTGTGCTTAACTATGTGTGCATCTCCCACCTCTGCTGCGGAACTCCGTAGCCGTAGGTGGCCAAGTGACCTCCTACCAACTGATGATCAGTGACGTCACATACTCAGGTGATTCGGCGGAGCCTTCATATAGCACGCGAATATTTGCAGCAGCCAGGTACGAAAGGCAAATATGGAGCATGAACCTGTTGCGCCTGATGTTTAGTCGAGCACCAGTAACGTCATGTCATCAGCTGATGCATTATAACCTAAAATGGGTTCAAAGGAGCCCGTAAAAAACTCGTGACCAGTGGACGTCACACACCTCAGGAGATTCGACGGAGCCTTCATTCAGCACGTCAGTGCCTTTAATAAACAAGTACAAAAGGTAAAGAAAGTACGTGGCATGTTGGACCTGATGTTAAGTCGAATAACAGTGACGACATATCATCCTGTGATGCTTCACGGGAGGTGTTGCTTTGTGGCCTTGGGCGGCCCAAGTGAATCCGTATGAACTCATGACCAGCGACGTCACCCCACTCAGATGATTCGTCTGGAGTTTAGTTGATTACCAGTGACGTCATATCGTCAGCTGATGCTTGATGTCCGTCAGTCAGCCCGAGTAAACCTGCACAAACTCATGGCCAGTTACACCACACGCTCAGGCGAATCGACAGAGCCTTTTTGTAGTGCACGAATACTTGCAGTAGGCAGGTGCGAAAGATAAAGATGAAACATGGCTTATTGCAAGTGATGTTAATTCGAATACAAGTGACGCCATAACGTTATCTGATGCCTAATGACCTGAACTCGGCCAAAAAAGGCCCGTAAAGCTCATGACCAGTGACGTCCACACTCAGTGGATTACCAGTGACGTCATTTCGTTAGCTGATGCCTTATGGCTTTCGCTCAGCCAAAAATAGTTGGTAAAAATTCATGACCAGTGACGTCGCACACTCAGGTGACTCGGCAGAGCCATCATTTAACGCACCAATACTTAACAGGTACGAAAGGCAAAGATGGAACATGACCTGTTACGCCTCATGTTAAGTCGAACACCATTGACATCATGTCGTCGACTGATGCATGTTTCCTTATAGAGTTATAGAGGGTTCCAAGGAGCCAGAAAAAACTCATGACCAGTAACGTTACACACCCAGGAGACTCGACAGAGCCTTCATTCAGCACGTCAATACTTGTAATAGGCGTGTACGAAAGGTAAAGATAGAACATGGCCTGTCGCGCCTGATGTTAAGTCGGACACCAGTGACGTCATATCATCAGCTGATGCATTATACCGTTTGGGGTACAAAAGGTCCTGTAAAAAGCTCTTGACCAGTGACGTTACTTACTCAGGAGACTCGACAGAGCCTTCATTCAGCACGCCCATACTTCCAAGAGACAGGTACGAAAGGTAAAGATAGAACATGGCCTGTCGCGCCTGGAGTTTAGTCGAATACCAGTGACGTCATATCGTCAGCTGATGCTTGATGTCCCTCATTCAGCCAGAGTAAACCCGCGTTAACTCATAACTAGTTACACCACACGCTAAGGTAATTCGGCAGAGCCCCTGTGTCGCGCGAATACTTGCAGTAGATAGGTGCGAAAGGTACAGACGAAACATGGTTTAGATGGAGCATGGCCTGTTGCGCATGATGTCTAGTCGAAACCCCAGTGACATCATATCGTCAGCTGATGCCTTATGGCCTATAGTAGGCTCAAAAGAGTGTGCAAATTGATGGCCAGTGACGTACACACTCAGGTAATTTGGCAGAGCCTTCCACGGCAATGCTTGCAATGGACAGGTACCAAAGATAAAGGTGGAACATGGTCTGTCGCGCCCGAAGTTCATTCGAATACCAGTGACGTCACATCTTCAGTCATTGCCGTATGACCTTTTCGTCGGCCCAAAAGAGGCCGTAAAACCTCATGACCAGCGACACGCACAGTCGAGTGCCAGCGACGTCACATCGTTAGCTGATGCTTTATGGTCTTTAGTTGGCCGCACAAAAAATCCGCAATACTTGCAGCAGACATGTACGAAAGGTATAAATGGAGCATGACCTGTTGCCTGATGTTCAGCCAAATACCAGTGACGTCATATCGCCAGCTGATGCCTAACGGCATTTCGTCGGTCCTATAGGGCCCGTGGAAACCCACGGCCATTGACGTCTTACAGTCGTATAGCAGTGACGTCGCTAGCTGACCCTTGTGGTCCTTCAGTTGGCCGAAAAGCACCGTTGGAACTCATGGCCAGTGATGTCACACACTCAGGTGGTTCGGCAGCTTTCATCCAGCACGCCAATGCTTGCAGCAGACAAGTACAAAGGTAAAAATGAAGCACGGCCTGTTGCACCCAGTATTTATTCGAATACCAGTGACGTCACGCTATCCGGTGATACTTCGCGGACCACGACACACCGTGGTCGTGGGGCCCTAAGTGCACTCGTATGAAGTGATGATTAGGGACGTCACACATTGGGGTAATTCGGTCAAACCCCTATGCGGCACGCAAATGCTTGCAGCAGACAGGTATGAAAAGTAAAGATGGAACGAGGCCGGCCGCGCCTGATGTTCAATCGAATACCAGTGACGACACATGGCCAGCTGATGCATTACGGCATTCAGTTGACCCAAAAGAGCCTTACACACTCACGACCAGTGACGTCACATACCCAGCCGAATACCAGTGACATCATATCACAAGCAAAAGCCTTATGGCCTTCAGTCGGCCCGAAAGAACCCCGACCCCGATCGATGCAAAACCATTTTCAGTGACGTCACAATGTTAGCTGATGCCTCACAGCTTTTGCCCCGCACGACAATACTCGAAACCCTGCAGCTACCGTAGCTCTTCCCTCCGTCGGCCATACAGGTACCCAAGTAAAAAATTACCCTCATTGTTGTCTTACCAAATTATATACACATTTTTAGAAGCTGTCTTCCAAAAGGAAATATTGAAGAAACAAAATTTAAAAACAGATTACCATATTACCATATTTTGAAATGCCAGCACATTCCCATGTTACCACATTACCATATTCAACACATTACCATATTTTGGGGATTGAATTAAAGTTCTTGGAATCCTTAATCTGGAATCCTGTCTGTTCTTCTATCCACTTCCCATCTGCATTCCACCGACCCCTGTGAATGTATCCAAACACAGCAGGTTATGTTCAAATTAGCACCATAGAGAGGTTTCAGCTACATAACTGGAACTTGGCTCTAACACACTGCTGGGTACTCCCAAATAACAGTTGAGCTCTGGCACAACATGAATCCTGGTAGCCTAGCTTGTGTCAGTGATTATATGTTGAATTCCAAGAAGTGCAATGCTCCAAAAAATATTGGCGGATTGAATGCTATAATCAAGGTCCATTTCCCATTATATGTTGCTCTTATCCTGCATCACTACAGCAAAACCTGGAAAGCAAAAAATAAAATGGAATCAAAAGATCAGAAAGAGGCCCAAATCTGAGGAGAAATGGGCTGTTAGCAATAGTCCAGGTCAGCAGATTGCAGGCCAAGTGCCTCCAGCTGGTTTTATGAAGCTGTAACACTGGTGCCCTACCTGCCATTAAACTTTTGTTTGTGATAAAATGTGGTTTATCAGTATGGTACTTGTATACCAGCAACTGAGTATCAACATATCATTCCATTCATTCCAGCACCATGAGAACTAATTCTTCATTTTGACCAAGTGACTGCTGAGATACATCATATTTAGCCCAATGCTGCATTGCATATGCTGACATTTTTCTGGTGTCAAAACATGATGTGACCATGGGCTGTATTATGTGTTGTTGCATAGGCTGCCACCCACCCATCATCATTCCAACCATCAGCATGCATTTTTAGGTGCATAATTCTGGGCTTCAGAGATTTCTGTCTGATTTTGAAGAGATTTAGTGAAAAGCAGGGTTTTGAAAACAAGCCATGACATTTTGCCAAGAAGTCATTTTTTCAAGGCTGGGCTGCCCCACTGGGGTGCATGTTCAGGACTAAAGCACTTCTGCTTCAGTTTGCACAGATGTACAAAAGATGTGCTGGATGTATTCAGCATGCTGTCTCTGTCTGCAGGTCCCTTTGCCTCTGCAGTGTGTCTTGCTACAACTGGCTGACTGCACTACCAGGAAGATGACGTCCATGGAGGTGGAGGCCGGCCCGTCGACATCGGCCGGCCGGCCGGCTGCCGTGATGGCGGCGGCCGGCACCAGCCCGAGCGTCACGGTGCAGCTGCACCCGCTGGTCATCCTCAACATCTCGGAGCACTGGACGCGCATCCGCGCCCAGCAGGCGGCGCCGCGCCAGGTGCTGGGCGCGCTCATCGGCCAGCAGAAGGGCCGCAACGTCGAGATCATGAACTCGTTCGAGCTGGTGTTCGACACTGTCGATGGCCAGATCGTGGTCGACACCGACTACTATGCCATGAAGGAGGAGCAGTTCAAGCAGGTGTTCGAGCACATGGACCTGGTGGGCTGGTACACGACCGGTGGCGCGCCGGACGCCTCCGACATAAGCGTGCATAAGCAGGTGTGCAAGCTGAACGAGAGCGCGCTGCTGGTCAAGCTGAACCCGCAGGCCAGCTGCAGTGAGCTTCCCATCACGGTGCTGGAGTCTGTTATGGATATCGTGGACGGGGACGCGCAGATGCTGCTACTCGAGACCGGCTACACGCTGGCCACCGAGGAGGCGGAACGCATCGGTGTTGACCACGTGGCGCGTGTGACCACCAGCGAGTCGGGCGACAAGTCGGTGGTGGCCGAGAGCCTAGTGCCACACCACGGCGCGCTCAAGATGCTCCGCAGCCGCGTCAGCATCATCGTTCGATATATCAAGGCCATGCAGGCGGGCCAGGTGCCCGTCAACTACGACATCCTGCGCGAGGCGTACAGCATCAGTCACCGGCTTCCGGTGCTGGAGTCGTCGCAGTTTACGCAGGACCTCTTCACGCAGATGAACGACGTCACGCTGATGACGTACCTGGGCGCGCTCACCAAGGGCTGCGACACGACGCTGCAGTACGTCAACAAATTCAACACGCTTCATGACAAGCAGGGTGTGGGCCGGCGCATGCGCGGAATGTTCTTCTGATAGCTGATGCGTGCGGAGGCGAATCGCGTGCTGCGTGTGCTGCATGCTGGAGCGCGGAGCGGCGGCGCCGTCGGCAGGTGGCGCATGGACGCTGCTGTGCTGCCCTGTGTTGGTGCGCGGCGCGCCTGTGCCCGATGCCCCGCCGCCGTGCCGGCCGGCCGGCGGTGGTCGGGACGCTCTGGCTGCCGTGCTCGTGACCTCCGCCCGTGACGCATCCGTGTGACGCAGCGGCGTGCGCGCGACGTCGGCGTCGGAGGTATCTTGGCGCGTGGTTGGCCCACTCGTCCTCAACTGACGCGTCGGTGGAGTTCCGTTCCGAGGGAGTCTCCAATAGAATGCGTTGCTTAGGGCTTTGACCACGCGATGGTGCGCTTTGCATTGAGCAGTCAGTGGATGATGCCAGGCTGATCTGGACTGATGTCATCTCGTCCGGCTTGGTAATGGAGTGGAAGTGACTCAGTTCAGTTCACGCTGAAATGAAACACACCTGTCTGTGGAAAATGTAACCTACTTGTGTTTTGCCGTCTGAACCAAGCAGCTGGCTGATATATACCTTCGGTGGCCAAGATTGCTTTCGGTCATTTACGGCCAGGACTAGGATCCTGAAATGAGTGTGGATTGGCGGCCTTCCTTCCATTTAAAAATGTAGCGTATATGTATGCGACGTCTCCGTGGCATTTATACCCCCCCCCCCCCCTTCCTCCCCAAAAGGCTTCGGACCCTTCTCGTCCAGAGAG